ATGAGTGACAAGTTCGATGATGGTAGAAAGTAACATTGGTAAATAACAATCTATTACTGCAAAGTGTTGGAGTATCCTACCGATTTCCCAACGTTAATTTTGCTACGCAGCAAGATGTTGACAATATAGATTTTCAAAAACAAATGATTATGTTTTTAATTTTCTTTTCAAATATATAAACATACGCGTGGTTGTGTTTTACTTTAGTTCTCTACGTGTTCTGTTATTAACGTATATCCTATCGTTTAATATAAATATTAATATGTATTTCTTACTCGTGCATCGCACGAGATTCGTACTAGTTTAAACATGAAATACTTAACAATAATAATCTAATTAGACACATGTATATAAAAAATAAAAGTATGAAAACAATTTTGAAGTATTAATAGAAATTACATGAATCATGCATTAAGTAATATTAAAATGTATATGTTATATTTGTAAAATAAAAATTAATTATTGTACCTTGTAGTCTTGTGAGATGGAAGAACTTATAAATTATTAACTACTCTTTATACATGCTAGTACAGATCTCGTGCGATGCACGAGCATACTTTAATATTTCCTTACAAGTCGTAGAAAATAAGACGTCCAAAGCACACATTTATCAAAGCAAAAAGCCAAACAACTCTTCATGGGAACAAACGCCAAAACACTGCTCTTCCCCTCTAAGGTATATCACAAACCAAATTTTCATAGTCAAGCTAATACAATGATTCAAGTGTAAGGAGCCCCTGCGCAAAATCTATAAGTCAAAAAGTGCTACATACAAGATGTTGCCCAGCAACATATAAGTGGCCAATCAAATAAAGTGCTATGACCACCACAAGTGCTCATATCATGTTTGATAATACAGCAAAGTGGCAAACAAATGTGAATTTTATTTCACACAAAATAGGAGTAATCACCCACATAAAGGCCAACTGCCACATTTATAAGCAAGATACTTGTAATGGATTGGGACCAGCTCTCATTTACGTTTATAAAATATTTATAGAAAAATAGCCATTATATTCATCAAAAATTAAAAAATGAAAGTCGCTCAAAAGGTTTTTCAAATGATACTTTCCTAATGTTTTTAGCTGATGGGAAGGACAGAACTACAGAGAAAATCTACCACGCTAAACGTGAAAGAGGATTCTTACAATGTTTGAGGTGTAGGAAAAAATGATTGATGCATACAACTCACCATCACAAGTAGTCGATAAGTACAACTAAAAAGTATATTATATATAAATATTAATATGTATTTCATACAACTCACCATCATCGTTTAATATAAATATTAATATGTATTTTTTACACCTTGGCAAGTTTGTTTTCCGGTCTTTAATTAGTTTGATGGACCTTTCATCTAGATATATTCATAAAGTTTAGAGGATGCTTGGATACAAATCTAACTCAAAAAAATCTAAATATTTTTAACTCAACAATTTTTTTAACTCAACTTTAATTCAATATTACTATAATCAATATTATCAATATAATTAAATAATATCAACCAATCATTCTTACACACCACGTCAACTTTAATTCACTATTCATCCACTCACATACTCTTAACTAACCATCACTTCAAATCATATCTCTCATACCTTTATATCAAATCAACTTTAATTATTTTATTTTAAATGTTATTTTAATATACCCATTAACAACTAACCATACCACATTTTTCAAAATTAATCAAACCAAACCAAAAAATCTAATCAAAACAAAAAAAAAAAAAAATTATATCCAAGCATCCCCTTAACAATTTCTTATTTTATTTAGTTATAATTTCATATTTCTTTGTAACTATTTTAATAAAATAGTTAAGTTTACAGTTAGCAACATTACTAAATTATTCATTTAAATTATAAAATTTGAAAGTAAAAGTTAAAACAAATTTGTTTACTATATAACTAGAGAAGTGAATTTACTATATAATTATATTTTTAGTAATTCTGATTATCTTTTGATTTTCCTCTAAAGGGTGCCACCCCATTGCATGGGTATTTCTTTTGTGGGTCCTATCAAAAAATTTTCATTTTTGGAATCAGTGTTTCTTTTTTTTTTAAGTTATTTTTGTGAATTTATTATTTTTTTTCTAAAATTCACTTACGCTGCAACATTTTTAGGAATTAATTATTATTTTTTATTTTTTAATTTTGAAATTCACATTTAGAACGTCATGGAATATCAAAGTGTTCATTTTATTTCCTCATAAAAATTTATTTATATTTATAGTAAAACAAATCTTGATATTAAATTATATTATGTTCGCCAATTAATATAATGTACTATTATTCTTACTATATAGACAAGAGTTCCAATTACATACAATTAGTTTAAAAAAAATTAAATTACTGAAAAAACTAACACATTTGTAATCTTCACACACATCCATCCATGAATTCACACTTGACCCTTATGCACAAAATAAAAAATTATAAATGTTTAATAATGTTAATTTCCTAAAAATCACATATTACACTAAATGGTTAAATTCCATTATTTACATCTGACATTTTTATTTTACTTTAATTTTCACAAGTCTATTAACATATTAACTTTAATGGCAATAAAATATTTATCTCATTTTATTGTCTAACATGATTTGTTCAATGATATGATAATAGATTCTTATTTCAAACGAATCTATGTAACAAAGATTTGATGTAATTTTTCATAATTATCATTTTTATATTATAGTAAATTTCAATACACTAATATTTTTTGAAATATAAAATAAATAAGATATTATTGCATTTCGTTTATATATATTTCAGATTCAAGTGTGACACAAATTATATGGAAAAGTTTACAATCAATGAATAGGACAAATGTTTGTTTAAATCAACATATATATAAGCATGTTTGTTTATGGAAATTCTTTGTTTTGTTTGGATTTTTTGGTTTGGTTTGGTTAATCTTGAAAAAAGTGGTATGGTTAGTTGTTAGTGGTTATATTAAAATAATTTATAAAATAAAATAATTAAAATTAATTTGATGTAAAAGTAGGAGAGAGATGATTGAAGTGATGGTTAGTTAAAATAATGTGAGTGGATGAATAGTGAATTAAGGTTGATGTGGTGTGTATGAATGATTGATTGATATTATTTAATTATATTAATAATGTAGATGATAGTGGGGTTGAGTTACAGTTTAGTTAAAAAAAGTAATTGAGTTAAAATGTAGAAATTTTTTTGAAAATTTTCCATAAACAAACATGCTCATAGTTATTGATCTTACTGTTATGCTTCAACTGATTCATAAAGAAACAAAAGTAAAATTTTGATTTGCATTATATGGTATCAGTTATCAAGTGATTACAAATAATTAACAATGCATGCATTATTTTATTTTTTCCAGTATCATTTAATCTTGAATAACATAAATGTCCCGATGTAAAAAAAATCACAAATTTTATTTGAAAGTAAGCATTCCAGTAATTTTGCTGAGGAACATTTACCGCTTAAGTGGAGTGTGCAACGATACACGGTTGGTTATAGCGAGGCTCGATGATCATATGTTGTAGTACGTTCACACAGTTGTGATAAGAATTAGTCTACATAAGTACCATTCAAGTTCTGAAGGAAATAATTTACTTTGATGGCTTCGTATGTCATGACGATTAACAAGTACCAAGGACAATATATTTCGCATATTGGTTTATAAAGAACTTCATATTTACTCATGGTCAGTTCTGTCGATATTTCAAGGGCCGCATATGCTTATTTCAAAGAATTGTAAATATTAATTTATAAACACGTCACGAAGAAGAAAAAATCCAAGTATTCAATAATGTATAAATATCTAATAGCGGGCTCTCGGCTGTGCGGCCCGAGTTCAGTCTCTAAGTAGTTTTTTATTATAGCTAATTATATAACAAAACACTCACCAATTAAAGTTATTCATCATGAATAAAGAGAACATAAACAAACTCTCAGCTCATCATTTGATCCAATTTCATACAACCATAATCATCCAAGCAACTGGGAATTTACCAGAAAATGAGTTCAAATGGTGTCTCACAAAAAAAGAATGATCTCTACCAAACAGGTTATCCTGCAAACATTTTAAGTTAATGCAACCCATAGTTGTTTTCCCCTTATACACAGAACTAACCAGTAAACAAGACATAAAGATGGAATTGAATAAAACAAATAGTACCACGGTCAACATAATTTGTGTCTAGACACTGTTAGAGTGTTAGTACATGGAAAGACGACCTTAAGTATATGATTACACAAACATATTTTTTTACACAAGCAGAAAACGTAACTATGACCTTACCTTCACACCAATCAGAAAGAGCTCAACAAGATCATGGGACTACCATGAATATCAACACATATGGTCATTGGGCTTTTTACAGGCTGCATCGAGAAAACAATGAGCAACCAAGTGGTTTATAAAGAATTATTTGACATTGCCAATCCTGAATCGCATATTGGAACTGTAATTCCCAAACATAATTGCTCTTTGTTCTATGTACGAGCGGGAAAATAGCTCGTCAGCACAGTATCATAGTCCAGCAAAACATAAAAAAACAAAATTTCCACACAAGATTCACTCAAAACATCTACTGAAAAGTGAATTGATGAGCCGTATACATTGAATCCAAAAGTAAATGACGAGTCGACGCAAACATTAGAAATTTTTGGCCCAGTTGGCAATAATAATCTGATTTTGCAATCTTAATATACATTCAAAGCCAGCTATACCTGCATAGGGAATTGGTAAACATACTAATAATGTAGGTAGAGATCAAGGAGCCTTCATACACAAACGACATTCAAAACCAAACTAAAAGGATAAACAGGCTTCATGTTCAGATACTACCCAATTAGACGTACCATCACAAAATAAACCAGAACAGAATTCCTACACATAGTAACAAAAGCCTGGAAACTAGCAAATCATAAACACAAAGCAAAATATCCAATGTATCCATCACATATTAAGCTATAGATATTGATAAAATTAGAAGGCGGCAACCTGCGCGCACACCTTCAATGGCCCCGGGACTTCTTGATCTGCAGAAGAAGCTTTGAGTGTTGAGTCATGACCTCAAAATACCTCGCATTGACCTCCATCTCTTCATTCTCGAGCTTCTTCCATTCGTACTCCTTAACGTCCCCAACAGCAGGAAGATTCTCGCCTAAACCACTCAACAACCTTGCCTTCATCTGCACAAACCTCCTCTCACTAGCCACTGAATCCTTAATAGTATTGGTGTCTGCCCCACTTCCATTGGTTTTTTCAACCCCGTTTTCTTTCTCAGCCATACTGCCATTGGCTTTTTCGACCACGTTTTCTTTCTCAGCCCCCCACACTTTCTCCGACAGATCGTAGGCTTCCTGCTCATGCTGGCTAGTAAAGTTCTCAGCCCCACTGCCATCGGCTTTTTCGACCCCGTTTTCTTTCTCACCCCCCACACTTTCTCCGACAGATCGTAGGCTTCCCGCTCATGCTGGCTCGTAAAGGTTCTTCCTTTACCATCATGCTCTTTTCTCTTGTTGTTTCTGTACTTCTTTTTCATCCTAAAAATCTTATCCCTCAGCTGGGCCCTCGTCGCCTCAATTTGCAAATTCTTCTTGATAAACTCAAAAAAAGCGTCAAGATTATCATTCAGGTCGGAATTCCGATGAGGATGGTGATTTCGTCGGCCTCGCTCCATATCCTCTGGTACAGTTGTTTCTTCTCGGGTTTCAGCCTTCTTACTCTTCTTCGACTTCTTGGTGACAGCGGGCTCCGTCCCCTTAACCTCCTCCACGGCCCTCTTCCTGGTAGATCTGGCCGCTGAAGCGGAGGCGGCGGCGGCCTTGTCCTTACCTTTCGCCTTGGATTTTTTTCTGGGGGATTCGGATTCAGAATCCTCGTCGGATGGGGCGGGTATTATGGCGGAAGGGGTTTGGGGTTTCCTCGCGGCGGCCGGCGGTGGGGAAGTCTTCCGGATCTGTTCGGGCTCAGATCCGATTTCCTCAGACGAAGAATCGTCGGTTTCCTCCTCGCCAGAAGAGGTTCCAGAGGAGACAGGCTCACGAGCTTTCGCCATTTTACGGTGAGAAAATTATGATGTTAGGGTTTTTCTTTGGAGGAGAGAATGAGAGTGAGTGGCGAGGTAGTGGTTTGATAGTATAGGCTTTAATTATTTTAGTAAAATATTTTGGTTTGATATAATATTGATTTGGTAGTAGTAATTTTAGTAATTAAATATTTCAATAACCTTCTCATTAAAAACGCCAACTGGCAATGTACAAGGGCAAAGCCCGAATCCTGGGTAACTGAGAGGTTACAATATCACCAATGCAACCTAGACGGAATCTAGCTCGCAACGCGAGAATACCAAACACAACAAACCAAAACGAACAATACTACAAAACGACTAACACAAAAGTAGAACCCTCCCAACAGGAGAATACTCGAGTGCGCTCCCACCAGGAGAATAAAGTTGCACTCGAGCCAACTGGGGCAATCCTGACAAACACAACACCACTAACAAACAAAAGAGAAACAACAACACCAACAAACCTACAAACACAAACATGATAACAAAAACGAAAACAGGAATAAAAACGAAAATAAAAACCAACATCGGAAACAAATTTAAACTGGCCCTTCCTCAGCTAATCGTCACCGCCCTAACCAGTAGCGACCGATCGATGCCAGAAATATCCCGAGCCCAAGTCCCGCTACTGAAACTGCACGAACGCCTAGCAGTAGGTGAACCCAACTCCCAGAAAAATCCCTGAATCGACCCGCCATTTAACCGAAAGGAAACCAGGCCAAGCCAACCCTCACACAAGATCCCCTGAGCACATCTAACACCACTAGCTGCACTCAAGTGAACCGGACCCCCGCCGCCTAACACCACTAGCCAAACGGAGGGTGGTGGTGGCGTCATGGCCCCTCACCTCCGACTACCATATCCCGAGACATCGTAGTCCCCAGAAAATCGCCTCAACCACAAAGCCTCACTCCACCCAACTCCGCCGCAATCACGCCGCCAACCGGAGCCCACAGCTCCTGTTCAACGAGCCGAAACCCACCGAAAGAACCTCTGCCAACCCCGATAACCGACACAACCCAACAAAATCACGAGAGTAAAGCACCATAGACGGCCCGAAAGGACATAGACGACCACTGGAAAAGAGATGAAGAACGGTCCCTCAACCCTGTCACCGGCGAGACAACATCCCACCCAACGCCAGAGTCCCACCCCACCTGTTGACCCACAACCAGTCACCATCACTGTACTCCGCCTGCACCAAGACTAGAAGCCCCAAATCGGAGCCCCACCGGAAAAGCCCCAAATGGAGCCCCTTCGAAAAGACGAACAGCCCAATGGGAGTCCCAAAAATTGCGACCAAAATCAGCAAAAAAAGATAACCTACCTCCAATCGAGACCTTCCGGCAATCGACGCCACCAATTGCAGACCGATCGTCGACCAAGGAGCTCGCCATCTTAACCGCGAACTCGCCGCAGACCTAGGGCAGCACATCTCAGAAGGCGCCGGAGCACTACAGGAACATCCAGGTGCAGCAGGGGGGCCGGCGGTCAACGGCGACCACCGGCCGAAACCGCGCCGCCGCCAAGGAAGGCTTCGTGAAGTCGCAAGGATTTGTCGCAAGGGTTTTGTCGAAGGAAGAGTAATTAGAGGATTCTCGGTGTGCGGGCTTTTTTTTTTTTTTTTTTNCTAAGTTGAATTAGAAAGATTTTATAAAAAATATTATTTTTTTTTATTTTTTTTTAAAAACTAAACTAATTTAATTTTATATAAAACATTACTTTGAGTTTTAATTAAATTGTCAAATTATATTTGTTTAAACATAATAATTAAACACTCGTACATTAAATGAAAATGTCAATTCATGTTAAATTTTTTTACTTAAATTAAATAAAAATGTCAACCACATGGAGCTGTCTCATTGTCTGTTGGCTCCTTACTGTATTTACTTTTACATAAGTACAAAAATATATATCTTAAATAAATAAAAATACTGTATTTACTTTTACATAAGTACAAAAATATATATCTTAAATAAATAAAAATAATATGGTGTTATGTACATGCGTAAGTGTAGAATATATTTATTTAATATTAAGCAAAATAGATTAATTTTTTTACTTAATTAGATGTCTAATACATCAAGTGTCGTATCTGCTTCACAGTTTTTTAACTTTATATGTAATTTTAGAATTTATATAAATAATTCAATTTCAACCATTGTTGCCGATTTAAGTTCGTTCGTCGACTATTGAGATAGACCGTTCGTGCAAACCGTTCGAATAATTTTATTTCTCGTCAATCATCGATCGTTCGCTCGTCCTCGTTCAATTTATAGAATTTCTCGGATTGTTGGAGCTATCGACATTTTATTTTATTTTTCTATGCCTTATTTATTTTCCGATGACGTTCTGCATCGCATCCGAACTATTAGATTCTTATCAAAATTAGAACATGACCAAAAGTTGTCTTAATGTTAAAAGCATGTATTAAACTCATAAGCAATGTTCCAGGCATAACCGAATGATTACAATGCTTCAATTCCACCTACAGCTGATGGAATAAAATCCACAGGACCTAAAACTACAAGCCCTTGAGGCAAACCTGCCATTAAACAACTACCTATCAAATGAAAGAACAAAATAACACACATCACACATATCTATATAATCAACAATAGCAGCAGCTTCCTCCTTCCAAGATGGATTGTCTTCATCTCTTCAATGTAGTAGCTCCACAGTCTCCTGCATAGCCACTTTGCACTCAAACCTATCCCAGCCTTCTGTCATACTTGCTTCCAACAGCCATTTGGTAAGGTGAAGATCCCTCTGTTGCCCATCTGTCACTCTCTCCCTTGTATCCCTCCACTCCTTAATCTAAAATGTGGTCTATTCATTTTTATTCTTCTTCGATATATATGGGCTAAAGGACGCGTGTACGTCTACAATTAACAGCAATTCCCATATAACGAGACACAAGTTTTTCTCACAAAATAAACTTTTCATAAAACTTTTTCGTCAAATTACGAGATCTTGAACAATTGAAAACAAAAGTCGCAACTGTGAATCCTAATTTTTCGTGAGCGACGCTTAATTTCCATGATCGAATGCGCAATCCTAATTTCCCCGACTCCCAATCTTATTATTCTTCTGCCAGTAGCTGTTGAAAGCGTAGGAGGTGTGCACCACCATCCCGATTGTCGCAAGTCGTCTACCTCTGCCGAATCCACCACCCCGCCTCAGTCCGACCAATCTCCCTCTCCGGATTCGAGGCCGTACTTCTCGCCGTCTACTAGTCCGAGACCAATGCCGACAACGGGAAGCCCTTCACAATTTGAATCCCCTGGTTGGGGTTTTGTGGCCTCCCCTGGAGCCGCAGATAGCGTTGTACGAGAGCCACACCATTCAATATTTTTTTTTTTTAGCAAAATACTTGGAGAAAAAAATGTTATGTGGAGTTTGGGAGGGTTTTATGTCAAAAGAAATAGTAGTAGTACAAAATTTTGTTGGCCTTTGTTCATATATATTTTCTATTTTAAATCTGTCTTTTTTTTTTCTTTAATAAACTTTTTTAGTTTATTTTTAGTTTATCTAGTTTATTACATTATCTCTATAATTTGTTAAAAATTAATTTGAAAGTTTTAGTTTATCTTAAGTATATTATCTATTTTTATGAACCGATATATTTTCTATTTTAAATCTATCATCTATTTTTTTATGAACTTTTTTAGTTTATTTAAGTTTATCTTAAATTTATTACATTATCTCTATTTTTAAGTTTATTATCTCTTCTGTTTTACTATATCTTAAGTTTATCTTTAGCTTATTTTAAGTTTATTATTATTATTTTTTTACTATATCTTAAGTTTATTTTAAGTTTATTATCTATGTTTTTAGCTATATCACGAAAACAAATTGAGAAACAAATCATATGAAAAATAAGACATTGTATAACCTACCAAAAGAAAAATCAAACCATCAGTAAACATCTTCAAAATACAAATATATTACATACTAATATACAAAGTTACAAACCCCATAAAAATTCATAGAAACTCTTATATTGTTTCAATGCCTAAAAGCATCGCCGCCCCTGCAGACTGAAACTCGAACATGTACCTCCTGACCCAAAATCTCTACTCATGCAGACGAACTCAATCACGACTTCCGTCATAGTCGGCCTATCAATTGACGAGCACACTAAGCACTTCTCGACAAAAATCACAAGTGCATGGTATTTTTCTTCACTTCAAGAACATGTCATGGAAACAATTTAATGTATCACTCGAGGATCTGCAAAATGATTAGAGAGGTGAGTGTATATCTTTGACTGAATATTTGCAGCAGAATGGAATTTTACAAAAAATATCATGTCCACATACTTGAACAAAATAGAACAGCAGAAGAAAAAAAAAATAGGTTGAAATGGGCTTGTCATTGCTAGTTGAATCTCATTTACAATCTAAGTAATGGGATGATGTTAGAGCCATAGCATGCTACATTATAAATTCAGTTTCAGCCAAAGGGTTAGACTACAAAAGCCCTCTCTAAGTTATTTACAATCACAAGCCAAACTGAAAGCTTGAAAGAGTTATTGTCTTCCTCCACTGGAAAGTCCTCCATCACTTCTATCTCCTCGTCCCCAATCTCCGGCAAAGCAATCACCGCTTATCACTATATCAACTTGATCCTTGTTAATCTCCAAGCTCAATTAATTCTATGGCTCTACAATTACTGAAGACAATAAGCAGTTTCATGAACAACAGAAAGCACATAACACACAAAAATCCACCTTAATTAACACAAAATAACTCTACAATTACAAAATTCTACCAACAAATTCCATGAACACTTAATTTCCTGAAAAAAAAAATAGTACGAAAATTGAAAATAATTGACAGGATATAGTTTACCTAAGATGATAACAAGCTATCGATGATTAGTCGATTGGAGGAAAATAACGAGTAGCCTTTCGATTTCAAAACTCCAGGCGCGTCCCCAAATCTAGAGAATGATTCCAGCTTCAGGCACTGGGAATCGGATCTAGGGTTCAGGTTGGCCGAATCTGCATACGCTACGTTGAAATTCAGGTTGAAGAAACCGTCAATTGCGTAGACGAAGACAAATTCGTCGTCGAAAATGAGGGTATCAGAGACTCCGACATTGTTGATGAATATTTGTTCGAGCTGGCCAGAGGTCACGACGAGGTGGCTGGCGGGGGAGAGGGACGGGACTCTGGAGGCGAAGGGCAGGGAGAGAAGGGATGACGGGGAGAGAGAGAGGGGGGAGAAGTGAAGGAGGAGGTGGGCGAGAGACGGCTGACCGGAAGTGGAGAAGGCGGAGTCCGACGGGAAGAAGATGGTGAGGGTGGTGATTGTCGGTGTCGATGATAGAGAAAGTGGAATTGAAATCTTCACAATTTCATATTTGAGACTTAAGGAAGTCTAATGTGCGATTTGTTTTTTTATCTAGTTAAATGGACAATATAGAAAGTTGGGCTCGTGCATAGGGTCATTTTCTCATATATATATGCACATTACTTATACGCATTCTTTAGATTTAAAAGTTCATTATTGTGTTCTCATTTTACCTTTAGTAAGAGATGCACAATTTTTTCTCTTATATAAATTATCTGCAAAACCTTCGGCAGAGCCTTGCTGTGGGATATCAGGAGATTTTCTGAACCAACTGTTGAGGTGAGTAAACATGAAGGGCCCGTTAAACTTTTACACTTGGATCCTCACAAAATCGTAACTAGGCGTGGCCAGTCAACGGGTCCGGGCCCGGCCCGGCCCGGCCCGCCGGGTCCACGGTCCACATGGACGAGGCCCGGACCCGGACCGAAAAAAGTGACGGTCCGGGACCGGTTCTGGGCCCGGACCCGCCGGTTCGTCGACCCGCCGGTTTTCGGCCGGTTCGGGCCGGTTCCGACGGTTCCCGGTTTTTTTTTTTTTTTTTTTTTTTTTGAAATAGATCTAAAGTCGTTCGATTTGTAATTTTTAACGCTTACTCGACACTGATAAAAAAACAAAAAGAAAAAAATTGAGCGGTATAACCAATATGTATTGCTCTTATGCACGAACCACTGTACAAATTTTTCAATAACGTTTACTTTTCATAAAATTTATAGGATCGAGGCCGTATAACTAGCTGAAAAAAAGTTGAGTTACTAATATCATTTCAAATAGTCGGGATATTTATTTGTTTTAGGACTGTTATTATCCTCTTGTTTTTATCTCTTCCATCGAATTTTTCTTAAAATGAGTAACGGATTTTACCGAAAGGCAGAAAATGGCCCGGACGGAGGCCTAGACGGCCGATTTTTGGATCGAGACCGGTGCCAATGGGGCGAAGCCCAATTGGCGCGACGTTCTCCTCAGAACGAGGATCGCGGGCATATGCTGTGGGCTGCACGGTTCATCCGANNCG